AAATAAACCTGTTTCTCTCACCTTCGTGGTATCGAGTCCTGGTCTTTCGTAAATAGATTACAAACCCCAATTTGCTGCAACACCCTCAGGAACTGTTTGCTAAATTTTTTGAACCCCACCCCTGGTTGATAATCCCACCCGCAGAGATCCGGACCCTACCCACTCTCATGGCCTTCCGAAAAGCTATCAAAACCTGGCTATTCCGGCAGGCCTGGGGCTGTTGACCTCTGGATTGAGGTCCAGCCCCGCTTAGACTGGGTGCATGTTGTTTCTTTTAAATTTGTTGTGTTTTATTTGTTTTTAAACTTTCTTAATATTTTTATTTCTGTAAGCCGCCCGGAGTCCTCCGGGATTGGGCGGCCTATAAATTTAATAAACAGTAAACAGTGTGTACATGCGCCTTCAAATCAGTGCCAGTCCCTGAACAGGTAGTCCTTGGATTATGATCCTAATTGGAACAGGAGTTTCCACTGGTAATGGACATATATTACATGACTTAACGACAGCAGTCCCAGCAATCCAGATTGCTGAGTTAGGCCAAGCCAAGACTGTACAGTCATTAGGTGAGGACCTCACATTTCTCCTGCCCTGTGCAACTGCCTCGGCTACAACTATCAATGCCCACCTATCTCCCCACCCCCACCCAACCTCTGCTGGGTGGAAATGGAGTACCCTGCATTTTGGATACCCTAAATTCCATCTGCCCCTGCTCTGAGCCCCACTCTCCCATGCCGACCTTCACTGTCTTCCTCCCCCTGCTCATCCAGGATCCAGGTACTGGGCATGGGCATAGTCCCAGAAAGCACTCAGTGAGTGTGGCAGGTGGTGAAGCCTCATCTGCCGAACAGCATTCGCCAGACTCAGTCAGGAAGGAGGCAGGCAGCATTGCAGGTGGAGAAGCCCCGTCTTCTGCCACTACAGCAAGGAGCGATAGCCCACAGACTGTGGGGAGCGCAGCAAGATGGGGTAGCAAGAGTTAATGTACTGCCTTGCCAGGCAAGGCAGCGGTGGCTGCCTATATGTGGCAGCTGCGCAGAAGGTGCTCTTCAGGCTGGTAGCGGAACTGGAGGAAGCAGAAGGATGTGGGAAAATGTAATGCATACTCTGCAGCTCACGTTGGAAGCGCTCCCGAAGATCCGGTCTGTGGTCTCCAAAGAAGGGTGGAGGTAAGCCCAGCACCAACAGACCCTCTCTGCCAGACTCCCTCTTGGAAAGCCTCACAAAGGCCCAGCCGTTTCCAACAAGCAGAAGCCTGCGGATCAGTTCACCAGGAGCTCTTCCAACGGAAGGTGTAAAATGTAGGCAGTGCTTCTAGGAAGCCCTTGCCCATTTCTTCCAGTTCTGCTGCCACCCAGAATGACTCCCCCGTAGCCGTCTTCATTTGGGGAGCCACAGCTGCCTTCCCAAACAACGAAGTGCACCCCGCCTTGCCAGCCTCTCCCACTGCAGTCTCCCACTTTCTGCAGTGTCACATCTCATACTGGCAGTGGAAGGAAGAGCTCCTTCTTCTGCACTAGCAATAGCAATAGCAGTTAGATTTATATGCCGCTTCATAGGGCTTTCAGCCCTCTCTAAGCGGTTTACAGAGTCAGCATAT